CTGTGCTGCCATAGTGTGAAATCGATCGGTATATGAGCTGCGCTTATAAAACTTTAGAGCCTTTTTTCTCAGAATCTTGTTGCTAGTGCGCTTTACAATTCTTCTGGTCTTCTGGGTGGACACCCTTGAGGTATACTACTAACCTGCAAAGTCTCATCCCGAACTGAATTTCCGAGACCGTAAGGTCCCCTTGTGAGAGGAATTGAAAAATCATCCTAATTTGTTTTTTTTTTATATATTGCAAAATATTATTTTTTTTTTACTGAACAGGTATTATATTTGAAATCGGACAATCAAGACATTGTGGTCCTGAATCCAAGATGGCTGTGCGTGGACATTATTGGACATTTATTATCGTTAGAGCATTTGGAGCAAGCCAGAGTGACCGGAAGTTACACGGTCGACGATGTACAATTGCTATTTCCAGATACGGATTCGTTGGATTTACTTCAGGTATAATCGGACACGTCTGTTGTATTATTTTATAAATCAACCGTTTTGGAATTTCATTTATACATTAATTTGTTATCAGGTGTTAGAAGCTCTTCAGCTTTGTACTCAGTGCGATAACGATGGCGATATCGAATACGAGTTTCCATGTTTCAACATGGTGGAGACTTTAGAAGGCTTATGGGATAAAAACGATGCTCGGTATACGAATGGAGTTTACGGTGGCGTTCACATCTGTTGTCAACCAAATGTCAAACACATGCTTCCTTGCGTGTTTCAACGACTTCAGGTAAGTGAAGACGAAAATTTGTTTCAAGATTTCCTTTCTTATTTGTTTTGTAAATAGAGAAAAAATGTCACTTGTATATAAATTAGGTTCAGTTAAGGAGATCGGCACACGAACAACCCGATCCAGAAATCGATTTATATCAATGGCACCATGGAAGCAAGTTTTGTAGTGGGTCCTTGGAAGCACTAATAACTCTCCGCGAAAACGAAATCATAGAAATTAAAGTTAGAGGACCTTCGAACATGAACACGGAAAGGTAAGTCCAGAATGTAAATTTGTTTTGAAGACCCGAAACTGTGTTACTGTATCATAGTGATTTATTTATTTTCTTTCAGTTTCTATTTCATGGAAGATTTGATGAGTATTATCGATCAGATATTGAACGACATGTGTCCGGGACTTCTTGTGGAGAAGAACATTCTGAGCGCAGCACAATTGAAACATCACATACCCCGCATAGCTTCCTATTCGTCCAGTGTTCTAATGCGAGCCATTCTAAACGATAAATTGGCCGCCACCGTTCAAAACGTAAGCAGCAGCGAAGAGGAACACATACTGGATCTACTCTGTTTCGGAACTTCGGATTTGATCCAGCCTCAAGGCATTCATAATAACGGAAGTCTTGTATTGGCTCCGGATCTTCACGTTTCCCATTTATCTCTTCTGACCAAACAGCAGCTCTGTTCCCTTTTAGATCCGGCCGATCCCATGGGAAGAGACTGGTGCATGTTGGGAGTTCTATTAGGGATGACTGATAAACTTCCGAGACTGGATCCGGGTGACGATCCGGCCTTTAGTTCTACCACCAGAATTCTCGAAGAATGGGCCAAAGATCCCACGAGTACCATCGGACTGTTATTAACTAAACTAGAAGAATTGGGCAGGAAAGACGCCGTCGACGTCATTTTGAGAACTGTTCCCTTAATGAAAGTATTTCCTATAGAAGAAGAAATACCGACTGACGAGGGAGTGGGCGTGAGCAGCGGTTCTCACACTTCGAGTTCCAATCTGTCGCATTGAACTAGTTTAAAAATCATTCCATGAATTTGGACGGTTTTGATATCCATTCTTACCATAAGAACACCCCACGAATCGTTAAACACTGTAGTCTACACCGGATACGTATCTTTTTCCACTCATTGGTTTAAGTAATCTCACTTCTATTGTCACGAGTATACATTATTCATCGACTTATTTCTTGAGCCGCGATTATGTATTTTGTTACGTGTGTTTTTTTTATACTAAGTAAGTTATTTTCATTCGTTTATTTAACCACATCGTCACGTTTAACAGCTTTTCTATAACCAGTATTGGTACTTGTTGGAGTTGGAATGATTTACGAAACGAAACTTTTTAGTCATTTTTTTCACATTGGTATATGCATATTGCGTACAGTAACCTCGTGGCGCCATCCGCGCATTTTATAGGCCAATGTTAATAACGTGTAAGTAATGTAAATAGCATAAACTATAAAACAAATGTAAATATATGGGAAGTGGTGCATCTTCTACGCAACACTTTGGTGCTGAAATCCATATCTTTTTTTTTTAATCGAGGAAGAAGAAAATCAACTTTGTGGTCGAAATTTTTTGGCTCTGTCTTTCCTAGTGCCATTGTTTTAAAACGCGAAGTGAAATAGTGTTTGTATAGACAATCGTAATAGAGACGGATGCTCTAATTTTACAAACTTTTATTAATTATTATTATTATTATTTTCCAAGAGAGATTGCCAAAGAGTTTACGAAACTACATAACTAAATAACGTCGATGCCATAATACAGCTGTAATCCTTGTAATAAAATTGCGAGGGTGGTTGGTATATACGTTCCTCCTCCCAGTCTAAACTGTTGCTTTGAACATGTACAGTAACTTTTTTGTAAGGAAAATAAATCAAATCGATATAAATTGTATTAGTCTCTCTTATTATTGTTACAAATACCAATTTAATTGTTACATCGTTATAAAATTTGGCATAAGTTTAGCCTAAAATAATAAGATTTTGGCACGTTTAAGAGTAAAGATAACTTATAAATAATAATAATAATACTGATAAATAAATTAACGTACAGTACATCAATATATTTACACACAGTTCGAACGAGTAGACGGAAGACAATGCCATTAGTGTTTCTTCTAGAAACCATTTTAAAATGTTTCACAGAACCATCGAAAACATTTCTGTCTGTTAGAAGCATAATTCTGCAAGGCCTTAAAGTATTACGATTTAGATTTCTTTGGTTTGATTTGTACACGAAGAATGTCGTTGCTGACTTGTTTCACTCTGGATGCGTAACTAAAAAATTATAAGATTACTGTATTAGGACCACAACACGATAACGCGATAAAGAATTTTAAAACATCTAAGCAAAAAAAAAACTAAAGGTTTCAAGTAAGAAAATTAAAGTTCGCACGCAATGTCGAGTCAAACAATCTGTATCAAAAATCATTAAGTTCTAAAAATAATGCTTACTCATCATAAAAAAAAAAAAAATGAAAGAAAAATTGTAGTGTTAAAAATAGCCTTACAAACAGGAAATAATGCGACGAAACCAGATTTTTCAGTGGGAAAAACCACTAAATTAGCGAGTAGCTACATCATTTTCTAAGGAATATTCACGTTTTTCTCGATAAATACTTACACCAATGAACTCAGAGTTTCGTCCAGATTACATTCGGCGGGCGAGACGTTGACAAACATCAAAGTTTTCGAATTACCACCGATCGAATCCTGCATCAATTGAGTTAATTTATTGTTTCTGTATGGTATATACGATTGATCCATTACTAAAGCCGCGATGACGTCAGCCAGAGCCGATAGTGACTTGTTAATGCAGTTGGCCTCCTAAAATTTCAAAATTATAGTTAAAAATATAGTAAAATTGGTGATGTATGTATCAATAAATTATTACCTTTAACTGATTAGCTATAGCTGCAGATTTTCCTACCCTTTCACTTCCAGCCAAATCAATCATGCTAAACTAAAGGAAAAATTTATTATTATTATTATTATTATTATTATTCAAATATAAAATTTAATCAAAACGAATAATACTTTACCTTTCCTTTAAAGAAGGCTCCGGTTAATTTATTGTTACCTTCTATATTTAAGCTAACTATGAGATGAGATCTGGAACTGTTGGGGTTCATCTCTACAAATTATCATCATCGTCATCATTACTGTACATTTGTTACTGTGTTATAAATAATATAAATATACTGTACTTACTTGTCGATGCTGTGTGACGATTATTACAGGCGTCATAAAACAACGACACTAATTGATTGGCGTCAGACACTTTAACGACACTTGCACCCTGAACATAAACTTGACCGTTGGATAATTTCTTAATTTCTAACTTTTCCTATAAATAATTTATAAATATAAAACCCAAATAATGAATTTTTTTTTTTAAATTAATTAATGGTCGATACAAACCTCCGAATTTCCATTTTTTAAAAGGTCAACGATCGTATCGTTGTATAATTCGAAAATCGAAGAAGACACGGAAAACTCTTGTTTGGCACTAAAACCAAGCGAATTAATTACGTTTAAAACAAATTAAAATTCAAATTTATGTTAAATCATTAACGAGGCATACTTGTTTTCGTTAATCAGGTCGAAAACTTTATAAAAAGAACGAATCGCTAAACCGGGGTCGTCTTTATTCCCGATTAACGTGTAGGTTTTTCCCGAACCCGTCTGACCGTAAGCGAACAAACATACGTTATATCCATCAATAACAGATTGGATGAGATCCTGTAACATAATTTTTTTTTGCTTTTAAGGATTTGTATCGCTCTATTTAATATTCGTTCACATATAATTTACCTCTGTATCCTTGAAAACATCCTCCTGATTTGTCTGCGATGCGAATACCCCGTCGAAATGGAATTCCTT